GAAAGGATCTAATTTATGTACTCTGAAGTCAGGTAAAGGAGGTGTCCTACGATTTCGGAAATGCAAACCTTGGTCTTTTACAAGTGGCACATTTCCAATGATTATTGCGGACTTCTTGCCTGATCAATCTTAGGAACCCACCATTTACTTCTTATGAAAGCTACTACATATCCCACTCCATAATGAAGGCAAAATTTATGACTATTTTCGATTACAAGGTGTGGTTAACCTGTGCTTGTTGAATAGCAATATCGGACATTTCATTGTGTCATTCATTGTAGCCATTTCCATTCTACCTCTGCATCACATAACTCTCTCTTCTATATAGAGACCTAATCCTTTCGAAAAATTAGTCCAAACACCTTGATTATTAATTAACTGGCAGTACTCAGTGGGGTAACTTTCTCTTTGAGCCATCAATACCACTTTCATTTCAGCAGTCCTTATTTCCCTAACCGTTAAGTTGGGCAACATTACCGTATCCTCTTTATGAGTTTTTCTCCTCAGGTTCTGTAAAGCTAGGATTCCATTTATGCATTTGCAGTGCATTTGCATTTTCAATCACTACATGTAGCGATTGGCATGTATTGCAAATGCATAACGCTAACGCAACCATACCAATGGAAACAACCGTGTACATTTCAGTGTGATCCATTTTTGGCGCTAATGCGTGAATGGAATCCTCGCTTAAGAATCTCATTATCCAGGCCATTACATGTAAGGCTTTGTTATAAGTACCGTACCGATTCCAATTTAATAAAACGGGATATTGATCAGGAGGATTAGTCTGTGTAGGTCGACTCAATTGTGGCAAAAATCCCAGCAGGTTCCCCATTAAATATCATAATCTAGGGCCACAAACTCTGGTGGGGGAGCCATGATTATCGGTGCTACTTTGGAATTAGCCATTACTAGCCTACTAAATTCTCCGTCAGTCATATAGGCAGCAGCACTGAACGCCACAGTACAGTACTAGCATCACTGAATAGGTGCAACGTGAACCTGGCGAGGAACAGAAATATTTACAATTTCTAATGTGTCCTCATATAATTCTTGCCGGTCAGTCTGTAACGCATCTGAAATAAGGGTGTCCCAATCAGTGTATTCACAAATTTTGTACAAACCTTCGAGCCCGAATGGTTACGGGGAGGAGGAATCCCAAAGGACCAAATATACTTGCAGTAACACTTAAGGTTCCCTTTTAGTTACTATTTCAGAAAATTAATCTTATATTAAAAGTTAATACATCTGAATCAGTTTGCCAAATTAAGAACATAAGAACATAAGAACATAAGAAAGTGGGATACTGCAGGAGGCCGACTGGCCCATACAGGGCAGATCCCTTTCACACCCATCCCGGCACTTCCATGTGCCTATCCAACTTCGTCTTAAAGCTCCCTAGCGTCCCCGATCCTACTATAGCACTCGGTAGCCTATTCCACATATCCACAACTCTATTACCAAACTAGTGCTTGCCTATATCCTTTCTGAATCGGAATTTATCTAATTTAAAGCCATTTGTTCTAGTTATTTCGTTATTACTGAGCTTCAGAACATCTTCCATTTTACCCTTGTTAATCCCACTTACCCACTTGAACACCTCTATCATATCTCCCCTAAGACTTTCACCTTTTCTTGTTCTAAAGAAGCTATGCCATTTATGCACAGACTCCCTTAATTCAGAACAATTAGTAACCGGCTCTCTTAAGAAAGATGTGCCTTTGAGAAGATATTCAAAGAATTCCAGTATTGTGTTATTAAATCCTTACAATCATTACCTGTTCCCTGTAAATTGTCAATATTAAGACCTTTTTCTATCTTTTGCGTCAAATCTGGGTCTTCCTTGACAACTGTAAGGTAGGTATTTACGGATAGTAGTGTTTAATAATAATTGACTACATGTTGCTCCAAATAAAACAGCTTTAAATCTAATATGAGATAAGGACTGTTATTATCAAAGGGATCAATTGGTCAGAGAAAATGTGTTGCAGCACGGTCCTTTTCATGTAACCCCACTATCAAAAAAGCTTTCTCTATATCATTTAACCAAGCATATTTACCACACCTAAACCTTAACAATACTTGTGCCAAATCTGAAACCAAAGATGGACTGGAATGTATACAGTCATTTAAACTAAGTTCATTGGGTCCTGACATTGCTAAACAATCATGGATTATCCATACAGGTATGGCCTTACTTACTTTCTTAATACCATTGATGGGCTCAATAGTGAATAGGTTGTCTTGGACTCTCTTGTTCATTAACTTCTTTAATGAACCCTCTCTTTAATTGATCACTTATGATGTTATAATACCGATTACAATAAATGGTGTCTTTAATAAATTGACATTGCAAACCCGAGTCTTATCACAGCTAACTGAAAATACTATGCAATTTAAAGGTGTTAGCTTTCAATGGTAATTCTACAATATATTGTCCCTGCTCCTCTGAGAAAGTAACAGTGTCCATAAGTTTTGCCATGGTGACTCGGTTTTCCTTATCAGTCTCTCGGGACTTTATTCCTATGTGATCTAACTCCCATAGTGCAGAAAGATCATTAATCTCAGGGGAGATTTCATCCTGTCTTGAAAGTTGTCCCACTGGGTCTACTGCTAACTTAAGGATACTAACTACTTCTACAGTATTTGTTACAAGCTAAATACCAACACAATAATCACACCCAAAGTCAACAAGTTGCATGACCCATTGTCAAGGAATACTGTAATCCAAGAAGATTGGACAACTGTACTGGCTAACCATTACCCTGGAACATGATCCACAAATTGATTAATATCCAGGTCCCCAATTACTGCTGGGTAGACAGAGGCAAATGGCATAAAGAAACTTGCCCATGGTTTCACCCTGCCTGGGGATCAAACCCAGGTCCACTCACTTGTGAGGCGAGCATGCTGACCATTACACCACAGGTCATTTAATAAGTACCGAGACTTTTTGATGTTAACAGCAATGGGGTAGGGGGCGCAAGCGTGGGGTTCATGTTACGACACGCAAAAGCTGCATCTTCATCTGTTTCTTTAGTCAGTTCATTTGATTTGTCTCAAGTAAGTGTTGCATTAACATTGAGCGCTCTGCTTGAATTATGTACTTCGTAAGAATGACAATCAATTATTTGTTTTTAAAATTTGGAAGAGATATAAAGAAGTGAAATTTATCGCTGAATGTCACTTCAATACGAAAGCAATTGCATCACCCGAGCGAACATTTGCAAGTGGGTTGAAGAAGCATTGTGGATGAAGATTATGCCAGACAACCTGTCAAAGTTTCAACACCAACATTTCACCAGAACACCGACTGGAAAATTTTTCAAAACCAACACTCTCTGCTTACAGTCTAGTTCTCACACCATCAGACTACCACATGTTTGGTCCGCTCAAAACAGCTTTGCGTGGAAAGCTTTTTTCGAATAATGAAGAGGTGAAGAAAGAATTCCCAAATTGGTTCAGGAGTCACCTGAAATAATTTTTCAACTTGCAGAAAGATGGGACACGTGCACAGCTGTAGAGGGAGATAATGTGGAAAATAGGTATGTGATCATTAACAACAAATCAGTACGCCTTACCCTCACCTAAGTAACTTGTGTGATCAAGTGCAAACTGCTGTTTTTTGCTTATTAACTATTTTTCTGCCATCATCATGGCTTCCAAATGCAAACCTGATGCAATTGATAGTAGTGCATCCAAGAAAAGGAAAACATATACTGTACAATGGAAGTGAAAGTTGATGTAATTAACATTCTGAAAAGGCAAAACGCTGGCAGTCATTGGTAATGCGTTGGGTTCCAGTAGGTCAATGATTGGAACAATTTTGAAAGACAAAGACAAAATTCTTTAACATGTAAAAGGATCTACACCAGCACAGTCAACTGTTGATAACAAAACAAAGAAGTGAATTGGTAATTGAAATTGATATACTGTATTGTTAGTGATATGGGTGGAAGTTCAGCCAGCCCCAAGGCTTCAATGTAATTGTTAAAACTTTAATTTTTACTTAACAGTATTTTGTCGTTCAATGTCTTCTTTCCTCTAAATTAATTGATTCTAGATGTATAAAAGGACTTAGGCTATGAATTAGTGCACATAGGGTATGTGTTCTGACTTAAGAACACCATTAGGAATGGAACTCATTTGTAACCTGGGGACCCTCTGTAATCTGCTATAGATACCTACGTATCCAAGTAATCTTCATCATGAACATCTCGAGCGAAGAAACCCTGTTTTTACTTATGTCATAGAGTTCATTTGGGCTTTCAAACCTGACTGTTGATTTGGATGCTAATATGCACGAACAATTGAGTCAGGAAAATATTTTCACCAATGCATTTATGCTGGTTTAGATGGTCTCAGATTATAATATGTTACGAGGCGAGCGTCGATGACATCAGACTCCATGACTGGTTAGTAACATGGTGAAATTTTAGAATCCCTTTGTGAAACACTTCTACAGGTATATAGAATACTGTATATATCTAGTGGCAGACAGGTGTCTAGCTTCCACACCCCCTATCCCCGCATGGGGAGTCCGACAGCTGATTTGGGTGGGATTTTCATAACATTTGGGGCAGGATGGAAAATTATTATTATACCTGCATTGTTTATATATATATGCTGAAATGTATGCTTGCATATTTTATATACATACCAAACCATTTGTAAACCTCGAAGACGATTTTCCAAAATATATATTATTTTAAACGCACCAAGGGTATACAATCTGGCTTATTACAGTAGTACACCAGTCCTATAAGTACATTCTGTAAACAACTTTGGATGCCCCTCCATTCTCATCTCCTTTCAGCCATGTGCTTCCTCACTCAGTCCAGTAATTTAATTTTAGTATCTTCTTTCACCTACTGCATTGAGAGAAACTCATTAATATAAAATGTTCTCACTCATCTCTCCTCTCCCAATGCTCAAACCATATCCAAAATACTTCTTCTAAGCTACAAAAAATTTGAATAGTGGAAATTTATAATAACAAAGATTTTAAGACAATTTATTTAAAGTCTTCACGATACACTTAAAACTTTAAAAGTACATAAACTGCGACTAGATAATGCATAATACTATGCCAGAAGGATTTGTGCAAACTGATGCATTAAAATAAAAACTGTTATGATAACACTATGATGTCATGTAAGGGACTAGCACCAATAGGCTGGCTTTACTTCCAAACACCTTTAACATAAGGAACATTAATAAAAGCTAATAATTTTTCTCTGGAATAGTACAGTAGCATTTGAAAATATATATATATATATATATATATATATATATATATATATATATATATATATATATATATATATATATATATATATATATATATATATATATATATACAGAAAGTTGTATGGTTTTAAGTAGCAATTCCAATTAAAGCGTATGATAAACACATGCATACAAAATATTCTATAAGGGGGTGTTCAGCACCATCAATGTTGACAGTACACACTTATGTGCATTAAATTGTATGAATACACTGGTCCACAAAAAATTATTCCCTTCATTTTTGTAATTCTCATTGTGAATTTTATAAAAACATTACCAATCATCATAGATCAACCCAATACACTGTATTACAGTACTGTAATCAAAATATACTCCTCCAAATAATATCAGAGAAAAAGTAAAGGCAAAATGATGCCTTTTCTGAACTTCCCCAATACTGTAAATGATACTACAGGCAAAAGTACTGTATGTATTTCAAGATTCTTTAAAACTAACAGCTGTTTAAAATTACTGGATAGCATCATTACAGTACAATACATTTTTAATCATAATGATTTATAAAAAAACAGGTAAACATACAGTAACATATAAGATTACAGTATAATGATTGTTTATCAGACCAAAGCTGGCCAGTCCAGAACAACAGCATATACTGTATAGAAGTAACTAGTGGAGAAGGTGAACACCTACCTAAGTTGACCCACTCTATAGTAATGAAATGAGATGAAGATCTGACTCAATTAGGGACATGAAGGGGCAAGGAGTTATCGCCTTCGTGTTAATGAGAGAAATGGCCCTTTGAGCCTATAAATCCAATAAACGCTGCCCTCCAGCCAGCAGTAAGTACGGGTTCCAACCAGGAACAGGTCTACAGTAAACAGGACAGGCCACCATAAACTAACCTAGATAAGATCAATTTGTGAAAGTACGGTGACCTAGAAAAACCCAATAAAAAGGGCCAACAGATCATTCTCGAGAGAGACAGCACCAGTTGGAGACACACTCATGCCTGAGGACTGCTCTCCCCAGCAGTGAGCTAGGTCCGACTGTGATATATAATAACATCAACTAATCTTCCCCAGACAATAATGATCATTACCATTATTTTAAAAACAATCTATAATTAAGTAAATTCTCGAGTCCTTCAAGAAGAACTTGATTTTTACATATATTTGTGATCAAACATTTATTGTTATTATGAACACCAACAGTATATCAGACCTCTTAAGGAGGTCACTGATATTACAAAAGATGACAACCATACACACACTTGTTCTAATGGGTCCCAGTCTAACCTAACAATGAAGACTGGGGCTCAGTCCTAATGGTTAGGTTATGTTAAGTTGGGGCCTATTTATTCTGGGGCTCTTTTGATGTTGAACAAAACAAAGCACTGACACACTGTAAGCAAATTAAGTTATATACAGTATCATGTTAACTAATTTATGTAAATTAAAATTTGAAGAAAACAGAATATTGTACATAACTTCATATTTCTTAAAACTTAAATAGTTAATGTACAGAAATATTGTGCTAACGCCCTATGTTGCAGTTAAAGAAATTTAAAAATAATTAAATCCCTCTTTACAATACAGTATATTCATCTGCACACTATTTCATTCTGGCTTTAGCGATACATATGATTAGACGTTCAATTTACTGAATTGAAGAAAAAAATACATAAAAATCTAGTCTATCAAGGCACTCCATTTCCTGCTTTAACTGCATATATTTGTAGGTTAATGTTTTTGTTATCTTGTTAATGAGAAAGGTAATAAATAACTAAGCTACAGTAAAATTATAAGTCTAATTCCAGAATGGATAAAAAGCAATCCTTAAATTCTAAGACCGTGTAAAAGAATATAAATCTTGTTCAATTCATTTGGTGAAAATCTGATAATTATGCACGTCAGCTTACAAGAATTGAGATGAAAATATGGACAGTAAAGGAATTTCTACTAATGTTATATTTAGTGATCTCTAAATTGTTAAATTAAAAAGCAACTAACACTCATCATGACAATTAATATAATTAACTAAGCATGAGAACACATCTATTTGAAAATCTCGCAAGATAAATTCCCTGGTAGAGTTGTCATGTTCACTGATTTATCAAGACCCTTGCAAGATTTTTAAGTTATTATGACTAAGATTTATAATCATCAGTCAAGTCAGGGATACTAAATGCTGATAATACATTACTTTATCTTTGTTTAAGGTAATAAACATTTATAAACAAAAATATTTAAAGCAATATTTGTAGAGTAAAACATTACTCCAAGAAGAAATATCAGAGTTTGACTTATACACTACGGAATACAGCATTAAGACAAGGTTATATTTTGAAGTACAGTACATATACTGTATACTATTCTCATTAGATTCAATACACCTCTTGTTCTTAAATACTGTAAACACCTGCAAATATAATCAGATAAGATAACTACTGTACATATTTACTGTAATAAAAATGCAATTTATTACCTTAAGACCAAATTTATCTTGTATGACCCATATAGTATATTCTACATCCTATTTGTAGTTTCATCTACATTAAGCCTTTGTATATTGTTAACATAAAATAACACCAATACATCATCTAAAAAATTTTTTAAATGACATTCTCTTTAATCTTTTGTCATTCAGTGTCAGTGTGGGTATAATTACAAGAACAAAGAAGAGATTTAAGATGGAAGTATGGATCTAAAAAAATATATACCTGTACAGTATATCTTTTAGGTTCTGTTTTCCTAAGGTTTTCCAAAAATGAAAAAGGATCACCAAGAATTGGATATTGGCTACATTGGGTAGACTAAAGTATAATTCTCACCTTAAATTGTCAATAACATTGAGTGATCCACAGATAAACACTAATTCTTCCTTGTACGCTCAGGAAAAAACCCATACACCCATCAGCTGTGTCTCGTAAAGCAATGAAAAATATCCCCATACAATGTCAAAAAATAATGTTAATTTCTGAGTGTAAAAATACTGGTTCAGTAAATATTACCATTACAGGTATGATTTGTATGAGTGTACATTATTGGTTCAATAAATATTACCACTACAGTAATTTGTAAGTTTAAATTATTGGTTAAACAAATAAAGTATTGCCACTATTTTTTAAGGGAGCTGCACTCTGTTCACTTGAAGCTTGCAACTGAGACCTAGGGTCAGTTTGTAGTAAGAGAGCTGAGTGGTTGGCGGATGGACAAATGAAGAATCACTACAGTTCATCAGTATTTGATCTATCGTTTTTATATTCTGAATAACCTTTCTATGTTGATCTCTGATAATTTCCACACCTAAGAAAGCAATAAGTGACTTGTGAAATGTTCTGGTAACAAATATCTTTTGAAAAACAAGAAAAATATAAAAATTTTAAGGACATCCTCCACCTCGATGTGTGATGTCACATGGCAAGGCAGAGTTTACGTTCCAGAATGTTTTCAATAATGTTCTTATTCTCTTTATGATAATTTTATGACCAGTTTGTTTCACATGCTAATTTTGCTTTCTCAAGTGCAAAAATTATCAGAGATCAACTCACTAAAGTTATTATCCCTTAAAATATCATAATACAGGTATATGTATATATAATAGATTATGGTAAATACAGCAGCACAGTACTGAAGAACTGTAGAGATTCTTCAGTTGTCCGTCCACCAACCAATCAGGTGTCTTACTACAAACTGACCCTAGGTCTCAGTTGCAAGCTTTGAGAGAACAGACTACCATATACTTATGATCCGACACCAAAGACCATAAAGAAGAGAGCCAGAAATTGTCTTATTACATAAATAGTGTACTGTACATTAATATCTTAATAATCTTTAAGAAAAATATAAATACTTTCAGTGACAAGTATAACATAAACATTTGTAGTCTAACTTGAGTAAACAAGTTCAATTTCAAAATGCAATAAAGTACTTGTATATACCATTTTACAAAATTTTTGAATACAGTAAAACCCCATAATTCGTTTGCCCCCAAATCGAAATCATTCATAATTCGTAATGTTTTGCCGTTATGAAATATATATTACGAATTTTGTATTATGTAATTGGTAAAATTTCAAAATGAGACATTTACGAATTTATATGATACACACATTGCCATAGGATGCGACTGCCCACCTCAGTGTAAACAAGTACAATACGTGTCACGCGTGTTGGTTTGGTCACGGTCAATTCATGTTGGTTAGTCGTGGTGTATATCGACAGTCCACCGCGAAAGCTTTATCCCACTTGTTTTTCCATAATTAGCCATTATTTTAGCCATTATGTCTGATAGCCCTGGACCAAGCACCTAAAGTTGGTACTGTACAAACTTAGAAACGTTTAAATTTTGATTGGGGCAGGTAAGGTAAAGATCCATTATTTATTTGTGTGTGTGTTTTTTCGCCTACTTCGAATTATGGGGGTTTTACTGTACCCGGTACTTCTCATTTATGATCCACAAAATAGGAAAGATACTGCTATTTATGTTTTGTGAAAATATACTATCCTATGGTTATTTACAATGGCGTATTTTGCATTTTGGTGTCAGACATCACATATATATGTACTGAACACTGTTACTAATTTGTAAAAATGGAAGTTTGTTGTAAAGTACAGTACTATCCCCATTCGCCAGAACAATTGGTGCAGAGCTTTTTTGGGGATGAGAGATTTCCAGGTAATGAAAAAAATCTCACATCCCTTGAGTTTTTCGATTACAGTACTGGGAAAAGTTTCCAAGAGTCTAAATCAAGTGTCTCACACTGACAGACACTATTGCACAATGTGTGACGCACATCTCCAGAATGTTTCTGGTTGCTGGGGAAAGTTTCAGAGTCTAAATTACTGTGTACCTCATCTCAACTCTAAACTACGCATCTCATCTTCCACGGACAAGCACTCTCCCAAAACTGTAAATTTGTCATTATATTTTGTCTTTCCACAAAATTTTTGCAGAAGGAACTTTTAACATATTGATTTACTGTACTGTTCTAATAAAAGTATCAATAAATAAAGTTCATTTTGTAAGACTTAATAAAGGGTAATTTCTATTAAGAGCTAAATAATAATAATTTTATTATGAATGTACTGACAGTACAGTATCGCAATATAAAAACAAGTAATCTACAAGCAGTAGACAATATAACCACTGACACAGTTGTCGAGAAAAGTGTTTTTCTGCAGTTTCGTCAAATGCATCAACTGTTTTTTCAAATTATTAATGGTTTTAATTAAGCTTAAATTCTGAGACTTAAAAAGTTTACTTTTACAACAGAACACATCTGGTAAGGCAGTGAAAAAATATGACACTGAATGAACAGGCAGCACTGGTCCTTATGCCAGCCACCCTGTGTCACAGTGGGAAGGGCTTGCAAGTTTAAGAATATAAGATTTAATAAGCTAATGTGCTGTGAGAATACATAATGTAAATGCTATAAAACACTTAAAATTATTAAATTTTTTATGAAAGACTGAAAAATGAAAAATAAAGATTTGTGGCCTTATCTTACACTACAGTACAATACCAAAATGCAAATGAAATGTGAATACAATGGGGTCTCATTCTGCATGGGTATATCATATTGGTACACATCCACGCATAGGAAATCAGCACAAGCAATGTCCTTTAACATGTGCTAAAATCCCTATACTGTATTGTACTGTACTGGACTTGCCAGACCTTTACTCTAGCACAACTTTGTGTAACTAACTTAACCTTCCAAAAATGACACATAATGTCACATAAACTGCATCTACATTATTAAATAAATATTTGAAGAAAGCCCAGGAAGTTAAGTATGTGATCGTCCACCGTCTCCATCAAATAGTGAAGGTGTGAGAAGCTCTGGGAGATAATGGGTGTCCAAGGCAGGGGTTGAAGGCGAGTTGGATTCAAAGCATTCAAAATCAACTGCAGACACTTGTAAAGCGACTTCAACTTCATCACCGTTCTCCAGAGCACTGGATTCTCCTTGAATTGTTAAGGTGTAAATAGGTGGCCTTGAGAGCTTGATGGTGGTGTTTAAACTCCTGGTAACATTGCCTGTAGGGTTCCACCAAATTGTCTAACTGTGCACTGAGTTTGTTACTGTATTGCAGGCTGGGTTCAGCACTCATTAAAGCATCCTTGAGTTCTTCAACATTGCTGAGAACTTGCATCACCTGCTGCTGAGTCATGCCTTCATCAGTCTGCTCTGGTACTGATTTGCTTGTCGTTTTATTTTGAAGTCAAATTATATATTGTATTTTGTTCTATTATTTAATACTGTATGTTAAATTATTTATGAAGAAACATACACCATAATAGGCTGACTGAAGCTACAGCCAGGCACATGCACTTGGTTACAAGGGGGAAAGGACAAGCAACCCCTGTGGGAGGGCTGACAATATCAACCCTCACTCCCTCCTGCCTCTATCACTCTCCTCCACCTCCTATCTATACCCTCCATAATTGTTTCAGTGAGGGGTGGCAGAGGAGGGAGGGAGAGCCCTTTATAATGACAGCATGCAATTTCACCATAATTCCCATATTATTTAAGTTCATTTGGTGCCATGTTAATAACATTATCAAAAAATAAATAATTTTACCCAAAAATTAAACACTCAATCCCAGATGAGCTACTGCAGTCTCTTGTTTACAGTACAAAGTGATATCAGATGATGGTTCCTGCTCTCCCTAACAATGTTGCCAGCACTCACCATCTCTCAAGCACCAGATTTTTCGGTAATTCAAGTGATCCAGAGCTCCTTTTTGGTTGAATTAACCTAAATAAGCAAATATTTCTAAATTAATGCTAGACTGCTACCCATGGCTTCCCGCGTAAGCTATAACTATGGCCACATTTCAAACAATTGCTTAAATGACAAATACATAATGCACTCATGAGACCCATGTAGAATGAGACCCCACTGTATGTTTATTGAAAGAGGATCATTGTAAGACCTCAGAAACTTTTTCCATAAGAAGACCATATTGTTAAATTAATTTGGGCAGAGAAATTCCACTAACATCACAATAAAAAAATTTCCAAAGGAAGTTCAGTTTGGTTAAAAGTATTGCTCTAAGTTAAAGCTTGATATATATCCTATGCATAATATTCAAACATGATGTTCCTTAACAAAACTTCCTCCAATTTAAAATCAATGTTTGCAAAACTTCCTTCAATTTAAAATACAGCTTGGCAGAACTTCTTTCAATTTATATTCACTTTTTGACTTGTGTGATGACCCAACTGATGGTTAGCCTCGCCGGAAGGTCCTCACAGAGTAGATGCTGGAGAGGACATAGAGAGCACAGTTCACCAATCCCAGAGCCTGAAAATGTTTAATAACATTATATTTTGGCATTAGCCAAATAAAATATTAAAAGTGACATTCAGCAGTAAAGGGGTTAATGAATATCACTTCATTAATACAGTACTACCTATCTTTCACTTCCTCTGTAACATAACTAAGGAGGATGATCTCTTTCTCTTTTACTACAATGAAGAGATTTGTGTAAAGAATGATAGTTCTCTTTAGGATGGTAAACACAAAGTGAAAAGAGAAGGGTAGGAAAGTATGGATGGGGCACAGGCAGTGTGAAAATATAGGAAGCATGTTGGCATACTTTCATAATATGTTTTAGTGTATGTTGGTAGAATTCTTTGATAATCTGCTTACTTTATATTATTATAGACTGATGATACCTATATAGATTATGATAAAACAAAGGCCGTAAAATATAATATCTGCTTCAGTAAAACTTCTGAAGAGTGACATGTTAGTAGTTATTCATAAGTACAAGTACTGTATAGACCCTCAAATCTGTGATCCTTGGAACCAAGACTTAACCAGTGTTGAGGAATATTCTGTTTCCTATGTCTGAAGTTACGTTACCATTTCTTTCCCGGGGCAGTCCATTTGTTACTTTAGGTCTACAGTAGGTGATGTCAAGTATTGTTTTTAGACATTCACAAAGTTCACTAGTACATTTTGTTTTACTTAACACTCTTGGGTATGGGTAGGCGCTCTCCTACGAGATGCTTCGGGGTCTGGCATGTTATTTACAACACATAATGAGTCATATCAAACTTGCTGTATAAGATAAAAAGGTGGGATTTGTTCCAGGTAACAGACAGATGAATCAGGTAAGACAATTTAACATAACCCAGGGAAGATGATGTCTACCGGTAATTTTTTAAAATCTCTGGTTTTCTGAGATCTGGATTTGAGGATCTATACTTGTATATGAAAATTTGTAAAAACTTACCTTTCCCTCAAAAACCAGTTCAATTGTCACAAAATAATCACATAAGATGATTTTTCTTATTTACAGTACAGTATACTGTACATTATAAGAATATACAAAAAAATATTAGAAAAAGTTCTTCCAGCAAGTGCTGATGTCACTGAGAGTTCAAGTAGAAAAAATATGTAAAATTTTGTGACACAAAGCTACAACCCACTGTCATGATGTGAGTAGATGCATTAACACCTTACTTAAAGCTCTACTGTATATCATTCACAAACTACTGTACAGTAATTCATCACAACTGTATTTTCTAGTTTTCTTGTTCATGGAGGCAAATTTCATGAACCAAAGTACACTCACCCCTGAAAATATTTTTGAGTTGTAGCCTCTTTCGTAAATTTTATATCCTTCGTTCCTGGCCACCACCTCTCTCAGTAGGTTAATAGAAGAACACACTAGAAGGTAGGACAGTGTACCATGTAACAGCACAACCTAAGAATAAAAAAAACAGACCACACCTCAATCCCATTGTTCCTTTTCACTACCTTCTAGCCAAGGGTTACTGCTACCTCATGCAAACAATATGAAATGTCATAAATAATGGATTTTTCAGTGAAGGTTTGTGCCACTACCCTACATAACTAATTTAAACCTTGTCACTGACTGCAACTTTACAGGTAGTTCTGATCATTTCACATGTTAAGTTTGAGGTAACATATACTGTACTGTATAGTAATCTTGGTTCTTACATATGCTGTGAAATAAATCTGATGTTAGAAAGACAGTTATTACTATAACAATAAATCTTCATAAAACACCAAATTCAGGGTAACACATTCAAGAACCAAGATGGGAGATGTTGAAAGTCATAATGAATATTTCAGGTTTAAGTACTAAGTTCTGAACTGAGTACAGTACTGCACTAAGTTCTGTGTAAGTAAAGGAATACTGTAAATTTCATAAAATGGTTGTTTACTTAAACTAAAACCTATAATTCATGGAACTTAGTTGTCAAGTTCAAATATGTATGTACACTTCGTGTTATGAATTGAAATTTACAAAACTCAGTTGTCAGCATAAGTACAAAGACCTGAAACATGCATCATCTAGCACCCAAAGAAAGGATGCACATATGTGGCTACTTACGCTGGCAGCTGTTTTAGCTACATACTGGTTGTCCCGGTAAGTTTTGTTGGTCAGGTGAATGAGGAGGTAAAGGGCACTGGCGAAGTAAAGCAAGGATGCCACTATGTGATACATCGTCTCCTGCAGGATCCAAAACATGACAATGAACAGAACAAAACAATTGGATGATTAATATATTTCTTGTGAGTAGCCAACTGAGAAATGATTGGTACTTGTATAGATTCTTTAAAAGATGAAAAATTCACACAAGGACACATACAGAGGTACAGTCTCATTCAAGATTTTTCGAAAACTCTTGAAAATAGCTGGCAAGTCAAGGCCGTTTGTTTACTATAGTACATAGTATAATATAATATGAAACAACAAAGCCCAACCAGTAAATTAAGCAACGGGGAACTAAGTAACCAATCACCAATCACTTTTACATTTATTTATAATTTTTACGACGTACTATAGTAAACAAACGGCCTTGAGTTGCCAGTTGTCTCCAGTACTGTTCGAAGAATCTTGAATGAGACTGTACATACACTTCACGACTACATATTTACTTGTTTCACTGTGTATTTATGTGTAATGATACTTTTCCAGTATTTACCGCCTTAAAGATTCTACAAATTGCTTTCAGGTCAAAATTTAATTAACATTAATAAAATGGTTGTGTTGTTTCTCATCAAACATAATGCCCAATGAGCAATTCATTAGTAAACACTATGGTAAGTTTCATAGTTTTATACATTTCATGTAGAGTTGGCTCCACTCCTGCATTTACCACTTAGTGTTGCCAGTCCTCTCTCTCCTTGAGGTATGAACCCTGAAGTGTGAATTCGTAGCATTAACTAGTGAACGGGAGGGAGAGTGGAGGGGTGTGTCGGGGTAGGTGTCTTTCAATGGGGAAGAGATGGGGTACTGGGAGTGAAGAAGGAAATTGTTTTTCAGATGGGAGAGATTACAATGCAGGATAACGCTTAAACAATAGTTTCCTCAACTGAGTGTAATCGTCTTGCACTTGCCAGATGAAAATAATAAAGTTCCAATAGAGAGGGGGGGATGAATTCATTTTCTAAGTAAGGTGTTTCTTTGCAAAAGTGGGCCTTTATGAGCATAAGGACTGTGGATATGTTTGAATCTATATCTTGTAAAACCAGAGAAGTTTTGTTTAACATCTTGACTACGAGACGGAAATTCCCCAGGAGAATTAAGTCGTCTGGCGGTATATAAGCTACTTCAGTCTGTAGCTAATTGCAACTCCTATGATGAAGCTGTAAGTACTCTCAAGGCCCTCTCCATGGATCAAAGCATGGCAGACATTAAACAACATTCAAAGGAGGTCAATGTCTTTACCAGTTTCATAGAATCCATATTTGGCATCACCAGTGATGTTGTCAGCTTTCAGAGAATAATTGACAACATTAGAGAAAAAGTTGAAGGGAAAATTTGCTTACCTGGCCAATGTAACTATGTAACCACAGTAATAAAAACATGATGCAAATGTAAAGAGATTCATGAATGCTGTTGACAAACAATCTCACTTCAATGAAGAGAAATGTAACTTCTTTCTTTTATGTCAACTTGGTTGGGTATACTGTGGGGGAGGGGATGGTCAAACCAGACCCTGAATGCCTTCAATTGCAGTTTGAGTTTCCTCTACCCCACAACTTACCATTCAGGCAATGTTCAATGGGAAAGTTTGCCCATTATTCCCAGTGGATTACCAAATTATCTGATAAGATTTATTGTCTACCACAAACACAGAGCTTTCCACTACCCCCTATTGCAACAAAATACTTTAAAAGTGGCAAATAGCATTTTCATGTTATAATGTTAAAGCTATGACACTGCTTTCTGTCCAGGCGAAGAAAAGGCCATTGCAGATACCTACCGAGAGGTATGTAGTCCAACCTCTGACAGTAGTACCCTGCAGACCCTTCACTAGGGGTCATTAGGATGGTTCACTTATTTTATATTGTAGGAATCTGCCATACTCTAAGGAAGAAACCCCCCAAATTATTACTTTCTGCCCTACATGCTCCGAGCTAAAACCTAGGTTCTTCAAACATTAGGTCAAGTAAACTTATAAAGCATACTCAACAATTTGAGGCTGAATACTGATTTTAAAGGTTCGATACCTTCAATGGCAAGCAATCATTCTCTGTTGACTACAAAAGATGAGAATTTAGATTCCTTTTTGCTTTCCCATGCTCTCACATAAATGCAGCTATGGTTATTAAACGCATATGCCTGTCAATTTCTGTCTTTGCCATGCCATCATATGAACATTAGGATAAAGGATCATCATTAATATCAGAAGAATTTAAGTTCTTACACATGTGAGGTATTACTATCAGTCAAACTACTCCCAATAATCCCTAAGATATTCTACTGAATAACATTGGTGAAAAGTGTCCAATTAAGCAAGATCCAGAACCTAACTCCTTATTTTCCAGATGAAGTTAAGTTTACTGAGGGCCCAGTGTTTACCATACTAGGCTATATTAAATTTAAAATTATTGGAAACACCCAAACACTTACAAATAGAGTCTTTGGCATGATGGAAGATGTAGCAATAGAACAGAGACATGAGAAGAGCAGCAGTGATGTGGTAATGAGGCAAGCCGTTGCTATCAGTAGGAAGAACAGCTCTGGCACCACGTACTCCGACCTTGATGTCCAATGAATGTAGTGTCCAGTGATGCCAACTGCTACACATCCAAGAATCTGCAGAAGGCATTTGAATCTCTTACATATGATCATCTATGTATCATCTATGGAAGCACACTGTAAATGGATACGGAGGGCAAATGTCTGAGAAAATAAAACTCACGAGAAATGGTAAAAAAAAAGAAAAAAGAAGCTGTATCAAAGAAGGGAGGAGGTATGGAAACTGATCCAACACTAACCTTACAAAATAAATTTAATTAGCACTAACTCCATACAACTTGTAATATTAGATCCTTCACATTTGGCATCATTAAGTACACTTTATACTGTACATTTTTTACTTACGATCTGGAATATCTTAAGAATGCCTGGGAAGGTCTTGAGATATCCTATATTGACGAGGAAAGCTGATGTGGTGGTAGTGGTCACCATCCTATGAACAGTAACTTGGGTAGACATCTTTTATCTGTTGGGGAAACCATAATGACCATAAATTCCCTATTAACAGTACGGTAAACATATTAAAATTTTATTCCATAACTAGGACTTGGTTAAAAAAAAGTGAAGGCTGAATGATAAAGGCTCTCCTTACTAACACTGATGTCACTGATGGAACCAAAGGAGAAGAGGCTCACCTCCACAATCTTCTTGGCAATGAACTTCTGCTTACCTGCAAACATTGGGTATTACTAGTTAAAAAAAAATAAAATAAAATAAGTGGATTAACACAACAGCAAGTGGCATATTGATTTATACACTGTATACTAAAGCTGCAGATTTTGAGATCATTCAGAGGTCCTTAGTGAATAGTGCTGCTTCTAACTACAGTACAAGTAACATCACCATTATACTCTGGTTGGGTAGTAAGGGTACAGCTTTATAGGAGTATTCTTACCAATACTAAACCTCAGGAGCTGTTCTATATTATGACATTTATTGTTCTCACCACAGTAAGTTTTTGTTACATTGTGGGGGGGACCCGAGAGGGACATGTCCCCCCACTATATATATATATATATATATATATATATATATATATATATATATATATATATATATATATATATATATATATATATACAGTATTATAGTGTACTGTGATGATAGAGTATATCAGAGTTAGATCCTCAATTTAAGTAAAAAAAATATAATTTTAGATATACTGTACTGCTGTACTTGTACATATACTGTATGTTTGCGTATGTTTGTTTAAACTGGTGAGAGCCAGAGGTTGGCTCATCACCCTCACCTCCTGGAATAGCGCTGGCAACAAGCCCAGCCCGTTGGGTGGGACACACCCACTAATTCTACTCCTAACATGAAGGAACACAATGTGGACAGCCAATACCTATGGTTGAAATATCTTCATAGTAAGAGTGTGTGTGTGATGGTGTTAGAGTTAGCGTATGGTGGTAGTGGTGTTGTTGATAGTCAGTGTTGGTGGTAGAGTTTGTGTGTGGTGGCAGTGCTGGTGGTGGTGTTAGCGAGTCAGATGTGTGGTGTTGGTGATAGTGTGTGATGGTGGTGTTGGTGATAGTTAGCGTGTTGTTGGTAGAGAAAGTGTGTGGTGGAGGTGGTATTGCAGTGTGTGGTAATGGTCAGTCAAGAATGTATGTGGTGGTGGCAGGGTGTGTGGTAGTAGTAATGTTTAGAGTCAAAAGTGTAAGAGGAGGTGGTAGATTCAGAGTGTAAGTGGTGGTGGTAGAGTCTGAATGTGGTGAAGAGTGATGGCGGGTTTTACTCACACAATCTTGGCAGCTGACCAATCTCTAACACTCCCAGATTTTAAATCTACCTACACTCAATCACACACATAATCATACATATAAGTGTGTGTATGCATGGAATGAACTCAAGGTGATATATATATATATATATATATATATATATATATATATATATATATATATATATATATATATATATTTTATGGGGATTAGCTCACCCAGGTCACCGACCCACATAGGATCGGGGGGGGGATAAAGCAAAGATTATTACAGAAATGAAATTATATATATATATATATATATATATATATATATATATATATATATATATATATATATATATATATATAAAGTGAGAAACGATATATATGTTGCATTGTCAAAGTAAGAGAATCAATTGAGACCCTGCAATTGTGTGTAAATGAGGCAGAAAGTCAGATCAACAACTTGGGACTGTCACATTTGTGATGACAAACCATTAGACGACACATTATGCTTCCAATATCTTCCCAGGCGGAAGTACCTCCCTGTTTGATAGCTGCCTACTACCTTCTACCTAATCATCCAAATTTATAGGTAAAAATTAATAATAATTAAATATGTCTATCACCAGAATATACTAATGTAAAGTACCGTATATTCATTCTCAGAACACATCTGTCGAGTCACGGCCTAAGGAAACTTGGGGCAGTGAGTGTGTTGAGTAAACAACTTTGGGTAGTGAGTGTGCTGGGGTAGTAACATAGGACAGTGTTGGGGTAGCAGCTGGAAGTAACATGGGATATTGAGTGTTAGGGTAATAACTTATTTCAGTGAGTGTTGGGGGTAGTGTGTGCGTTAGGGTAATAATTAAGTTTAGCGAGTGTTAGCCGTTGGGGTAGTAACTTGGGACAGTTAGTGTGTTGGGTAAGTAATTTGGAACAGTGTTGGTGAACTTGGTGGTACAGTAGTAGCGCGCCTAACTCCACCAATACGTCATTTGTTAGAGTCTCGGCCCGGACACACGCGAGAAGGATGTTTGTTATCAAGTGTGACCCCACCAACATCACAAGTCCCGGTCCCCGTCGGTTTCCTCCTGTAATAAGATCGCCCAAACGGCTAGTAAGCGGACGTGGCGAAAAAAAAAAGTTACTAGGGACAGTGAATGTTGGGGTAATAATTTTGGGTAGTGGGTGTGTTCGAGTAGTAACTTGGGGCAAAGAGTGTGTGTATTGTTTTATATACAGGTAATACCGAGCCCAAAACACAAGCGAACCTTCACCTTACCTCGATAAGTTCACTTTGTATCAGTTAATGCGATAAGGTAGAGAGAATCTTTACTAAATGAATCAGTTGCGAGGAATATATTATACATTGTGTGAACCTTTATGTGTCCGACCCTGGATAAGCGATGAGTCATTAGTAAAAACATCACTCTCACCTTCAGCTTCACCTTCACCCTCATTCTCGCCTTCCTCTTTCAGCCCTAACTTTCACCCTCACCCATATCTTCACATTTACTATTGTGAGTAATGCGTATGACAACATTGTAATTGTAACTGGTGAGAGGTGAGATGATTGGAGATTTAAGATTGGAGAGTAGCGACTGGTAACTGATGAATAACGAGTGAGAAATGAGTGGTAAATTCTGACTCGCGAGAGGAAACTGATAACAGGTGGGCTTGCTTACGTTAGGTTAGATAAGTTTAAAGTTTGGTCAGGTTAATATTGAAATTATGTTGCATAGGTGTTAAGTTAGGGTAGTTACTGTTAAAGCTAGGTTTGATTAGTTTTAAGTTTGGTTAGGTAAGGTTAATTTAGGTTTGGTATGGTTAATTTAGGTTAAGTGTGGTTAATTTAGGTTAGGTATGGTTAGGTTTGATTATGTTCAAGTTAAATTAGGGTAAAGTTTAACTTATGATATGGTATAAATTAGGCTTGACAAGGTTTAAGTAATGTTTGATAAGTTTAATTTAGGTTTAGGCTGTGGTTTAAATCAGTTAGATTGGTTTAAGTTAGGTTAGGTTTGTAAACAAAGGATTAGGTTACCTTACTTTGTGTTACGTTACGTTAGGTTATATAAGTTACGTTTCATCTAACATCATGTTAGCTCAGTGGCAGACAATTACACAGCCCAGGCACCAAGTTCTCAGTGGTAGACGCTTACACAATCCCGAGACCGGAAAATTCTTAAAAACAAGAGACATATAACCGAGATAAGGCTCAGGGCTAAGATTCCGGTACACCCCAGTTCATATCAGTACTGTAATGAATATTCAGAGGTAGCTGTAGACATATAATTGTTACCAACAAACAAAAAAAACGTCCAAACGTAAATTAAAATCACTACCGAGTACAGACTACCTCTATTCATCTAACAGCACCAGTTGCCAGATACTGTATACAGGCTAATTACTACATAAATAGAATCTGTAAAACCTTGCCGTTATTGAAGAAAAGTTGTGCCTTACCCCAAAATGATTTTCCGAAACGTTAGTGATTAAGGAAACCCAACTTAGTCAAGATGTTTGTGTTTTCCCTGGTTCTCCTGATCGGGGCGTTAGCTTTTCCCTCCGAGTGTCATGCGCACAACTCAAAAGTAGCGTCTGTGCATACAGAATAGCTAACGCGTTAGCTATTCTGTACATCGAAAACGCCTTACAATAATTACTTACTTATCTATCTCACCTAAAGACCTCTGGATTAGTTTTATGTCAAGTCAGGCACAGTAAGGTTATGTGTAAGTGAGACTGGGTTTGTTTTGTTCGTATTCACTGACCTAAGAAGGAAACAGCAGAGCGCAGTGCAGTATAGGTTAATGTGTATTCATAAGGTAGATATTGGCTGTTGTCAATGTGAGGAACTTTTTTCTTTACAGTATTTAAATCTGTATTACCAGTCTTCCATAGAGTCAGTTCGAGAACCTCACCACCCCCATGAACCCCACCAACTCCATGAACCCCACCACCCCCAAGAACCCCACCACCCCCATGAACCCCACCACCCCACTCGTCACACTCGGGAAGACCACCCTACCAGGAGACAGTGGAAACCATCCACCTGAGAAATAAAGCAGACGCCCTCAACCTCAGGTTCCATCGCCTGGGGAAAAAGGTTTGGGGCAAGCTCCTGGACGACCCTCACAGCCCAGACCACCTACGCGGGGAAGCCATTAACAGAGGGCGACCCCACGCCGGGTGGTCACGGAGTCTGCCAGCACTTCAACAACCCAACCCGCGACCCATCTATGTCCGCCACAACGATCCACCTTAGATTAAAACTTATATGATATAAGACCACACTTAACAAGTCACAATCTAACGAGTCCACAACGTAATACAGTAATAACAACTTAATAAACATGTAATTGTAAAATCCAACTCGTCATTGTCAGCCACAGAAGCCAATGTGCAACCTCATTCTAAATCCTAGGTTAGCTTATTTCGTCAACAAACTCTGTAATATGTAAAACAAGGGGTGTCGTCCCCCTGTTTAACTTATTAAACTTCTTCTCCAACCTTTCCCCCCACGACTATATGTCGTGACTTCTCTATCCTTCATGTCCGGCTGTGCCTTGAGCCCCAGCATGCCTTCCGTACTTTCACCCCACCTTAACCGCGCTGCCCTTCACTACTCTCCACCCGACCTGGGATCCGCCTACCACACCTCCCCACACCCTAAGCCAAATTAACTTGTACACGTCTAACATAATTATGCTTGCAGCAGTTAGATTTTTTTTTTAATCGTGGGCCAAACTTCGTGGAGTGGTCTCTCGCCTTAGGTGAGGTTAGATTTCCCTAGAATCATTATACAGTATTGTCGACCATGGCGAGAGACGTGACGAGATTTGTCCTCGGCCTTAGTAACCGAACTTAACCTAACCAACTTATACAACACCTACGCTAATTTAGGTGACATTCCAAAGTTACAGCCATCACCTTGTAGATATCCATACAGTGTTCGACACAGTCTGGCATGACGGACTAAAATGCGGAATATGCACAAATTTCAACTTCCCCCAAAATCACAACAACTCCTATGCAACTTCCTAACAGACAGATAAATGAGGATTAAATATTAACAAGAAAATTCAGACTACTTCCCCATGAACGCAGGAGTTCCACAAGGCTCAGTCCTCTCCCCAACACTATACATACTTTACACCAATGACTTGCCTGATCCCATACATACTCACTGATTATACAATACGCTGGCGACGTAACACAACTAGTCGGACACGGAGCATTACTAGACTACCTCATAGAAAAAAAAAACACTTTGGAAACTGGAACAGGTCACAAAGTGGGAACACAAATGGCGCATACAAACAAACTCCAACAAGTCACAAATCACCTTTGGCACAAAAAGACATCAACCACGCCAGATATACCTAAACCCACACAACAACAATCCAACACCCATGCCTGAGCACAAGGAGTGACATTCGACTACTTCCTCACCATGTGCCACATTATCACCGAGATGGCAGTAGCACAGAAGGCACTCACAGGCATACAAAGATACAGAAGTGTAACAACAAAAAATCAAAACACTTATGCAAAGCACTGCTACGTCTCCTATTAACATAAGCACAGATCAGTTAACAACACCAGCCAACATCAAGAAACTACAAGTCATAGAATAAATCACTGAGGTTCATACACAACACATACTGGACACATCCTTCACCACAAACGAACACCTACATGAACACAGCAACATTCCACCACTCAACATCTACTGGAGACTATTAGGTGATAAACAGATAGAAAACCTCCTAACCACACACCCATAATGGCAGGAATACTTTGACATCATACTTCACCACAGATACAGAAACATGAATCCCTCCATAATAAAGACCCAATACACTATACCCACCTCCTCTATAATAAAACACGTAGTCAACAACAATAAAACTCCTATATAATATGTACCTGCGCGACCTGAGAACAATCCAGATATACACACATCAAGCCACTCTGAGTTAAGACATTATCAACTCACCACTCCACTCAAACTCTGACGGTGCAACAGCAATATCGTAACAAATGAGGCTTATCCGAGGTTCGATTATTTCTAAGCAAATCGGAGAACAATTCCCCACTTTCTTAAAAAAAAAAACTTCGACGATACCCACATTCCTCCATGCAACGAATAATCTGACATTTTAAGATTTGATTCAAAACTCTTCCTCCCCAACTAGCTCTGTTCCATCTTTGGCACTAGTTCAAAGACTGTACCTCCATCTGTCACCAAACACCTCTACTACTAGCCTACTTCTTCCTTTTCTATTGGGCGAGGCCTACCGGGGTTTTGGACTCGGGCTGTGGCTGTGCGGGTCTTATCGCGTCGGTCATGCTGCTGGGAGTCTGTACTACAATCCTATAACTATCAGTCATGCTACTCACTCCTATCCACTAAACCCTTGTCACCCGTCACTTGGGATTGTATGTATGTATGTATGTGTGTGTGTGTGTGTGTGTATGCCAGTTACCACAATTCCTTACGGTATTCCTTATTTACTACATTTACTTATATTGTTCTCCAGTTACTAAAATTACCTTCAGTGTTCCCGTTACCATAAATACATTTTCCGAGTTACCACAATCACGTTCAATGTTCTCGATACTCACCCCAACTTGGTATGTTGTTCCCGAGGCATCACACACACACGAGACACCTACTTCGCTTCAAATTTCACTACATACTGTATTTGACGTTCATTAACTCACTTTTCAAGTTTTCATTTATTTAGCTAAAAAAATCAGCTATGCCAGATATACTTAAAAGGCACAAAAAAAATCTAAAAGCAGATGACAAATGTATAGCAATTTGTAGAATGCGTAAAATAGTTGAAAAGTTTAAGAATTACTGGTTCAGACATGTTAACATTCCTGCAGGGTCACGGATCCTTCCTCACATGGCAACTTTTACATGCCAGCTTTGTCTAGTGGTCGCCATGACACACCTTTACTGACAGCCACATCTTTTCAAGTAAGTTGTGTTCTGCAAGGTTTTGTTCAAATAAAGTCTCAAAGAATATTTACTCATTTCGTTCTCGTCACAGGTGACATCATCGTCAGTGTTGACTCACACTGAAGTCAGTAGCTTGGGTTGAGTGCTGTCATCATGACACCCTTTACTGAAGTTAATAATTTTTGTTACCGTCACCTTAGTTTATCACCCATTTGACGGTAGTATGTGTAGTGACGTCATCATCGTTATCACCCATTTGACGTTGGTAGTAAAGTTTGTTGTGACGTCATCGTAATTATCACTCATTTGAAGTGAGCAATATGTTGTGACGTCATCATCGTTATAACTCACTTGACGTGGGAAGTGTTGTGATGTCATCATCGTTCTCACTCACCCACTTGTCATCGCTATAAATAAGTCTACTAGATGCCATTACACCTGGTGGCTACAGATATATATGAGAAAATTTTTACACATGCTACTTTTCTTTACATACACTGAACAAGGGTTTTATTTAGCTATGACCATGTAAGTACTCTTGGCTTCCCCGGCTGTTACTGATATTGACACATTAAGAAGAAAGTGTACAGTTGTGAACGACCCCCCCCCCCCATGTTTCTAACATTTCTGTGCAGAGTTGAAAGTAGAAATTTTTATGAGTGTAAAAATAGTGCGTGCGTGAATTTATAAGTACAGGATATACTTTAAGGGTTTTATAAACCATGCAAAATTATAGTTTATGTAGTAGAAAGAAATTAAGTGATATACTGTACATATGAAATGGAAAACCAATTGTCTAAGAATATTTGATAACAACAACGAAACAGCTGTCGTCGGCCTTCCCTCAGGCACCAACCCACCCCTTACAACGCCCAAACATGCATCGTAGCTCATAATATTCATTTAAGTCTTCCATTGCTGACGCTATCAAATATGTTCGTACACAGCATGCATTTTAAAAGTACTACACCATGCGAGCATAGTTATATCTTGAGTACGCTTAAGAGTAATGCATGAAGACTTGTTTTCAGGACAGAAGTAGCTCTGTGAGCGTAGCTGTCAACACTGCTCTGGGTGTCTGACACAGAGGGCGTTGCCACCACATGAACTTGTTTCACCACATTTCCTAAACTTCTAACACCACTATCGCTATGGAATTTGTTCATGATTTATACCAAGAGACCAATTTAATCTCAAGACCAATAAAGATGATCGACACTTACCGGAGTTGATAAACTGGCGCAATTTAAATCACACTCGGGACGATGAGATAGGTGCGCACTAACAACTTAAGAGTCAATGGTACACTGTGCGGCGGCGGTGCAGCGGCGGCGGCAGTGTTGCCATCTACAAATTTACATTCCCGCTATATGAGACTCCAAAACCCGCTAGATTTGACCCCTAACCCACTAGACTGTAACTGTACAGATAATAGCAGGTGTTACCCTCTTTAATATATATATAAATAGTTAGAATGATAAATATAGAAAGTATGGTACATAGAAGTACATGTATAACTAATTAACGGTGTGTTAATTAGCATAATGGGCATAATGTCACAAAAGTAATATAAATGTATAATGAACAACAGTTGATATGCATGACCTACCTTTAAAACAGAAAGAGAGAGGAATCATCAAATTCTTCTACCTCTGTTTCCTCTCGAGATGTACTTGCTCTTGGTGTTGATTTCAGGATTGGTTCACTGACGTATGCATTGCTAGTTCCAATCAATTTCAAGATGTCAGCCAGTATTTCATACTCAAAACAAGACTTTTCATTTATTTTCAAACCTGCTCGTATTGCAAGAAGAGCATTAGCCATTTTTCCCCATTCCGTTTCGAAGTTCATTTTTCACTATATTTAACGGGCTGAATATCTTTCCTACTACTTCAGCGTTAGAGTCGGGTATGACGAGAACTAATAAAGCAAACTCTGCCAATTCCTTGAATGGATTACAATGTAATGTGTCCATATAGTTATGCACTTCATTCCAAAACAGGACAGTTTGTGAAACTTCATTCCACTTATACTTATGCAAGTATAATTATATAACTAAAACCGCTAGAAATCCGCCAGAAAACAGTTAAATCCGCAAAAAAAAAAACCCGCTAGCAGCAACACAGCAAATTTACATGCTAGATGGTGGATCAAATAAGCTAGATTTAGCGGAAAAACCGCTAAAATGGCAACACTGGGTGGTGGTGGTGGTGGTGGTGCCCTGGCGAGTCAGTGTGGACCGTGGAGTTGCCATTTCTCAAATAAAATTCTCATATCTCCTACCCTATTTCTCCCACAAAATCCCACAGATTTATACCGAATTCCCACAAAAGAAGTCCACAAATAATTTAGGCCTTCATTAATAATAAGAAATATACTTTCATTGTGAAGTACTCACCGAATATACAAATAGTGTCTCTACATGTCCTGGACAACTATTTTGTCTGCAGATTCTTGTTCATCTGTTGTTGGTGAAATTCTTTATCGTTTTGGTATGAAGTTTGCACATGTCTTTGATTACACCTTTAACCCATAGCGAATTTGCAGAATGGCTTCCACGGATCTAACACTGGGGTGATTTGAGTTTTGTGTGCCATGCACAGGCCAACCCGCCTTTTGCCGACTCCTTATTTTCTTATGTTCTTATGTTATTTGTGAAAATATTCTCTCAACTAATGCCTTAGAATATGGTAGAGTCTAGAGAGAGTAAAGCCAGTGCTAATGAAGATACATTAGGGTATGCTTGTTCCCCAACAGTTCTTCCTGTCACTGACTTCAACCCAAAGGATAATGGGTTGCTTGGGGTCCTCTGACGGCAGGCCGCCTCCCTCCACCCTCCCTGCTTCAGCTGCCAAAAAACTCCTCCAATGAAATTATCTTATCAATGCATGTTGCCACGTCATTGCCACTGCCATAACCATTTGACCCGGTAGGAAATAACACCACCTCCCGTATCTCTTCATTTGAGATTATCGCCAACTGTAGACAAAGACATCATCATATCCTTGTATCTCATTTTTAATATTTGAAACTTCGGTTTTATATACAGTATACTGTTAACGAATATGATGTATTTCTTTGTGTATGACCCACTGTCCTACTTGGCAGTGGATAGTGATATCACCCACATGACTGACACACACACACACATATATATATATATATATATATATATATATATATATATATATATATATATATATATATATATATATATATATATATATATATATACTGTTAAAGAGTGTTAATAAATATGATGTATTTCTTTGTGTATAAACCTCTGTCCTGCGTGGCATTGAGAAGGGAATAGCACCCTCAGTGTCAAGACCTGACTGAACTACTCAGAAAAGACAAACTGTACTCCAAGCTTTGTTAATAAGTTTGTTAACTGTAAAATAATCGTTTTTTTTTTTAGAAATGTAACATAGTACAGCAGTTTCGTAAGATTCCCTCAATAACCAATCAGCCGGTGCAGTGTGGCAAGAGATCAACATCGGGAGGGATGGGGGGGCAACTGAATACTACTCCCTCCCTTCCCCCTCAACCTGGTTACAGAGAAAGTTATTTACGGACAGTGAGAGGCCAGACAAAGTGAGAGGGAAGAAGGGAAAGAAAATAAAGAGAGTGAAGGATAAAGAAAAAGGTTGAAGGAAAGATGTAGAAGGTGGAGAAACGAGAAAACAGGAGGGGAAGGACATAGTGAAGAGTGTGAGAGAGACTTCGTGGTTCAGTCAGGTTGGTTCAGGTGTAGTGTGTGACAGGTGGTGTGGGTTGTGTGTAGTAGTGTGTGACAGGTGGTGTGGGTAGTGTGTGACAGGTGGTGTGGGTTGTGTGTGACAGGTGGTGTGGGTTGTGTGTGGTAGTGTGTGACAGGTGGTGTGGGTAGTGTGTGACAGGTGGTGTGGGTAGTGTGTGACAGGTGTTGTGGGTTGTGTGTGACAGGTGGTGTGGGTTGTGTGTGGTAGTGTGTGACAGGTGTTGTGGGTAGTGTGTGACAGGTGGTGTGGGTTGTGTGTGACAGGTGGTGTGGGTTCTGTGTAGTAGTGTGTGACAGGTGGTGTGGGAGGGAGAAGGTAGGTATTTTTAAATCTTTCTTATTAATTCTCAATGTATGTGTGTGTGTGTGTGTGTGTGTGTGTACGTTGTTTAATACCTATGTACAAAGATTGATATGACATTAAATTTTATGCTGATACACACGTTACCAACACCCACACTACTTCAAGCTATTCCTTAAAGAACTACTTCAAGTTATCCTTCACTGATAGATAAAATTCACTTAATTCTTTCATCTAAATCATAATAATATCAAAACATAATTGTATACATTGATATATAAATTTACTGGAAACAACACCTATTTCATACACACGTCTTCTGGGAGTACAACAACAAAAATAATAATTACAAACAATAATCACAAATTTTTTTTCCTGCGATAAGAAACTTTTTGCTCGGGTTAAAACTTTTCCTCCACGACAGAACTTTTATCTTTGGGGGTAGATCTCGCTAGACTAGCTAGAGTTTCCGCCAGGGCAAATAACTTTACAGTTTATACTCCTCACTTTTTGCCTTCTGGAGGTGGGTGTGGGTGGTGATGGGAGGTGGGTGTGGGTGGTGGGTGTGGGGTGGTGATAGTAAGTAGATGTGGGTGGTGGGTGGTGATAGTAAGTAGATGTGGGTGGTGGGTGTGGGGTGGTGATAGTAGATGGATGTGGGTGGTGATGGGGGTGGCTGTGGGTGGTTATAAGGGTGAGTGTCATGGGTGCGGATGGTCATATGGGAGGGGGTGGGTGGTCAGGAGGTGGGGTAACAATGTTTACACTGGGATCGTTCCACTTCTGAGGTGCCAATTTTTTATTTACTTACCGATTTACCTGCGACAAAGTGCCATCATCATTGGTATGGTTAACATAGTTCATATCACTATACAAAATCCATAAAACATTGCATTACTAAAAACATGAATCTAGTGTTGACTGTCGTGGGAAAAGAAGTCGAGCGGTAAAGAGATTCTGTAACATGTCAAATCCACCATGACTCACACATAGGAACGTGCCACATGTCGCAACATAAGGAAACTCCCATTTTCTCTTGGTAGTTGGTACACATAGGTTTATTACATTATATGCAGTACCTTGTTGTAAGAACGAGTGAAGATAATATTTTATTCGACTAACTTGTTAGTTTTTTAGTAAAGAATTGTTTTTATGGGAGCGTTTCGTGGCTATTGTGGGGTATGGGTTATTTGGTTCACACTCAGGATGGGATGGAGAAAGGAAACTCACAATGAGCTCTCTGTATACATGTTGTATTGGATGTACAATGCAGCTTGGTGCTGGGAAGGCAGCATGGTTACAAGCGTGATGTAGAGAGAGCTGGTTGGTGAGGATGCTCAGAGGAGGACAGCTTGTGGGTCCCATGCTCGCCGGCGGGAGCGAGGACCGCCAGGCAGGCAGAGGAGGAGGAGGTGTTGCTGGCTGGTTGGTGTAGGTAGAAAAGGGTAGGTCACCACGAGGTCAGGTCTTAAATAGCGGGGGTAGGCGTGGCTTAATAGTTGACCCCCGCTCCGTGGGCGGCGCTGGTTGACCTAGACCACGAGGCACACACTGGAATTCGCGGGGTCGGCTATGCAGCGACAAACAGCGTTTGTAGGGGGAAATCCACTACAATATAAACAATGACGTCTTCAGTCCGAGAACAGTTGACGAAAGCAAGACCAAAACAAATGGCGTTAAGCAGTTTTATTCTTGTAAGTTGTTTATATCACGTATTTTATTAATACTGATCATAGGGTTTGGTCTGTTATATACCATGATCTAAGGCTCTACGCTTATCAAGCTAGGCAAAGATTAGTAAAAATAATAACATTTGATGTTCCCTGACCCTACTAGAACTGGTAACGAAGAAATATCAGTCGGTTGGTCTAGAATAATATCAGTGGTTCCCAAACTGGGGGGCGTGAGGTGGGTACAGGGTAGGCGTGAAGCTACCTGCCAAAATTTGCAATTTTTGGCTCAAAAAGAATATAATGAAGAAACTCTTTCAGGAGTAACTTCTCTCCGTTTGAATCTTCCACACATCCGTGCAAAATCAAAGTATAGCAGTCGCCCCTATCCGTTTTCTATCATTTCATATCTCTCCTTACGCGTCTTGTACATGCCATGATAATGATACGGTTGATACCATACTGACTCTCACACTACTCGTATCTTTCACAAGGAGTTATCTGATCCTCAACAATACTAAAATATAATTATAATAAAAAATTAAATCTATGTAGATTTTACATACAAAAATATAAGGGGGAGGGGGAG